TTGAGCCCAGGAGTTGGAGGTTGCTGTGAGCGTGATGCCATGGCACTCTACCCAGGGGGACAGCTTGAGGCTCTGTCTCAAAAAAAAAAGATAGTAGCTTGGCAGTACTTGGGAGGAGAGGTCATCAGGAGGCATGCAGCCCCAGAGCAGAGAAGTCAATGCCCACCCCCAGTCTCACCACCTACGACATTCCCATGAGGGCCCACTTTCTACAAAGCCCAAAGAGGGGAGAAGAGACCTGCCCCCTGAGAATTCTTACCCAGCACAACCCCTACTGCAGTCTGTCTCACAGAGGTCCTAACATAGAACATCTCATACCTTTAAGCTCTTCCCATAATGAGTAAAAGGAAGCAAGGCCTATGGATAAAGGTAGCAGTAGATAAAATATTTGGGGGTATTGCTTCCACCTACCTCCCCTAACTCTTTAATCCTGGATCTCCCCAACCCTAACCCAGGGGGTTAACAGGGTAGAAAGAGGGAGAAAAGAAAGGCAAAAACAACAGACTAGGGACCTTTGCCCAGATCTGGAAGGCTCCCATGCTTGGTGGCACAAACAATTCATCCAGATGTTTTATCCATTTGGCAACCTCCCAGGCTAAGCTTTTTTTTTTTTTTTGGCAGTTTTTGGCTGGAGCTGGGTTTGAACCTGCCACCTCCAGCATATGGGGTCAGCACCCTACTCCTTTGAGCCACAGACGCCACCCTCAGGCTAAGCTTTGTGCACCAAATCACCAAGGCGCTTTTCCCCACCAGAAGAGGGGCCAGGATAGAGAATATGGACATCGTCTAAAGCTCCCAGATAGCTGGAACCCGTTATCAACATGCTTCTTCCAAGGGCACAAAATTGACCTGTGGCCTCCCTCCTGTCCCCTTTCTTCTCTGCCCTACTCATCCTCAGCTCAGCCTCTCTTCCCAGAGTCTGCTTCCAGGTGCAAGTCAGCACCAGGCCTTCCTCTGCCCAGCTGTAGGAGCCTTGTGGCAGGAGGAATCAGGAGGGCTGCCCTAATGCTTGGGAAACAAGGGTGGCAACAACCGAGACTAGGCAGAGAGAAGCAGAGAAAGTAGGGAGAATGATCTGTCCCTGTCCACAGCTTAACTGTTACTAATCCCTAAGGGCTCTATGACCAAGAGAAGGTGGGAACAAATGGGACCTATTTGAGCGTGGGTCCTGCCTGCTAAGGACCCTAAAGTCATCACTATGGTAACAGCACAATCTTTCCTGGGAAGGAAAGGAGTCCCAGATGGAGATATTCTAGAAGTGTCCAGACCACCACCTCCATCATCCCACTACAGCCAACAGTATCCGACTGAGATATTATCTACCTGTGACTAGTGTCCTAGCCAAGCCTGCACAGGAGCCTGAATTCTTAGGAGTCAGTTCCTTACTTCCAGGAAAACAGGAGCAAATGTCCTCTTTTCAGACAGCTCAAAGCTGAAAGAACGCAGAGGAAATGTGACCCACAACACACCATCCCAGCAAGCAAACATCCCTGAAGTGGCATGGGGTGCCACTCAGCTCAAGTGGTGCTCCAGGGGCCCTTCAGCCCAGCCCACTAGGCTGGGTAATTGGGCCTAGTGGAAACCCAAGGAACTAGAAAACCAGAGCTGGCTCAGTTGTTTACCTTCCCAGGGCCCTGGAGCTTCTGTTACCCTAACACAGCCCCTGGGACACTTACTATGCAAAGCTTCCACCTGGGGAAGGAGGGGGAGTGTCTGGGTGCAAAGCCAGGGCTCTGAAGAACTTGACTTACCACTGACTAAGGAGAGGGAAAGTGTTCCTTAAGTCTTACCACAAACTGCTGCCCCTCCCCTTCTCCGTAACCCAGATCTATGGGGTGTAGGTATATAAAGACCTCTAGCCCTCCCTAGTATTTTGTCCAGGAATGCCAAGAGCCTTGCTGAATCCCAGATTACAAGACCCTACACCCTCTTCTGGTTTTAACAGGCATCCAACAAAGCTTAATAAGCCTAGGAGGGAACTAGACTAGGTCCCAGCTGACACCCTATGAAGCTTCTTCCTGAAACCTGAACACTGATACCAAGAGCAGAAAACCCCAGGAAACTCCTCAAAAAGACAGGAGACCAATAAGAAAATGATGGGCATCCAGGAAACAATGTTGAAACTTTCAAGTGACTATGGACATAGGTCATTGTCTTTAGTAAAACAACCAGTTGACCCCTCTCCCAGATGGGGAGAAATAGGGAAAAGAGGCTGGCAGTAGGCCTACAGCAGCTGAAGCTGAAAAGTTCTGCTGAAATAGCTGGCAGGTGGCTGCCAGTGCCAGCCTCTGATGTGGTTTCATAACCTGCCTCAGACCAGAGCCTGCAGCAACTCTGTTCTGTTAACCACTATTTTGCTGGTAGTTCTTTTCCCCTCTTCCCACCTCTCCCTCTTGGCTCTAGCCTGTATGTCAAACACTCAGGCTCCAAGGCAGCCCCCAGGTAGGCCCTTCCCACCCATCGCCCTCAGGTAAGGGCAGTCCTTTAAACAGCAAACCTCTCGCCTTCTGGGTGAAGAGCACAAAACATCCAGATGTGGATAGGGTCCCCAACGGGGAATCAGTGGCAGCACACCACAATGCCATTTTCATTCTGCCCACCCTACACTGTGCAGGATCACAGCTGCTCACCTCTCAACTCTGGCCCAACCTCCCAGACTCCGAAAAGCGATGGGAATAGAAAGTGAGCACCTAAACGAACCCTCACTAATCCAGAGAGGGGGAGGAGCGAGGAGGCGGAGTCCTTACCGTTGTTGGGGTTTTCGGAGACCTCCGGCTGGGGGTGGAGAGTAGGGCTCCCGCTCTGATCTCCAGCCTAGAACCTCGTGCTCGGAGCCTAGCCAAGTCCAGGACCTCACCCCCATCTCCACGCGTTCACCCACCTCTGGAGGCTACCAAGCCTTTATCCCCGAAGTCCAGCCGCTCCCTGCCTCCCACCCCCAGCCGAAGCGCTCCTCCTCGACGTCCCACCCCCGGCCTCCCGCTTCCATTTTCCTCTTTAGGCACCCACTGAATTGATGCACCCCCTCCGCCCCCAGACACTCCGCCTGGTCTCCTCCAGCCCGGGGCGCCTCCCCCAGCAGCCCCCACCTTCTCTCCCGCCCCTCCTCTAGCCTCGAGGGCCTCCTGGTTCCGGCATTCCGAGGCCGCCAGTCCGGACTCACCGTGCGGGGCCGGAGGTCGAGGGCCCAAGAAGGGTGCCCGGGAGCGGGGGGCCACTGCTGCTTCAGCAGCTGTAACAACCCGCGGCGGCAGCTACCCCGCTGGCAGCTCCGGCCGAATCAGCGCCCCGCGCCGGCCCCCGTGACGTCACCGCTCCGCGCCGGCCTGCCCGGCGTCTCCTGGGAGTTGTAGTCGCTGCAACGCAGCCTCGGCACCGACTCTCCCGGTGCTTGCTGGGAGTTGTAGTTTTACCGTGCTCCGACCCTGGCCTTTCTGGAGTCGCACCAACATAAGTTTAGCTGTGACAAGATAGTAAGATCAGATAATATTATGACGCGTATCAATTCCATCGTTTGCGTCTATGACCTTCACGTGTAGTTTCCCTTGCCCTGGTTTTGCAGGGCAAAACTTACTTAAAACTCTGAAGAAACTCAGACTTTTAAGTAACTTGCCAGCAGTAGGCCCCTGCTGGGTCCCAGCCTGCAAAGGAGCCCAGATATTCTGACCCCAAATGCAGGGTTTTTCCAATGCACCTGGCTGCCTCCACCCCAGTCCCAGATTGGCTCCTCCAGACACAATCTAACTGACCCTTTTCCCTGCTAGGCCCCCCAGCGAGTTGTCTTTCTGAGACTTGGCTGAAATGAGGGTCTAGAGGGCATAGGGAGGAGTCTACACCTCCTCAGTTACACTTGGCCCAGGCTGGCCTGAACTAGGTCACATCGTCGGTCTCCTCACATGAGATGTCAGAAGCAGCCATGTGTCGTGAAAAGATTCCTTAATGAATAGTAAGGAATGTAGTTTCTGCCTCAGGTCAGTTTGTGTGGCTTTGGGAGGGAGGTTTTGGTCTTCAGTTTTCATATTTGTATTCTCTAAAGACAAGTGTACAGACTTTACTGCCAGGTAGATACAGTGCAGGCGCTCATTTATTCCTTTGGTCTTAATTACCAGTTCTACACACATGTGAAACCCTACCTCCACAATTGTGTGAATTCCTTTGGTCTTAATTTCCAGTTCTACACACCTGTGAAACCCTACCCCCCACAATTTTGTGAATTCAAAAGAATGTATGTAAAGAAGCTGTTGCAATGAGGGAAGCTATTGTTTATTGTAGGAGGTTAAACTAAATGGCCCTTGAGGTCCCCTGGGTCACTTCTACTCTCGTGTCACCAAGAGAGCCTTATCTGTCTCCTGCTCTCCCATCCAGCTTCTTTCTAAGTCATACTGTATGCATGGCGGGCTGGAGTAGCAGGATCAGATGGTGTCAAAGCATGCCAGCCTAATTGGCTGTAAAGGCATCCTGGACTGAATGTGAGGGAACGGGAAAGAAAAGCTGGCTCAGGGAAACTGGGAGCATATCCCTCAGACCTCACCTAACTCTGTCAAGGGTGCTGCCAGAAAACAGTGTCACAAAGTTGGAGTGGAGCCCCCCTCCAGAGCCACCTAGTAGGCACCAGGGAGGTGGGTATTTGAACTACTCAGAGCAAGAGGATAGGCAGCTTCTCAAATATCCCCAAGAAGGCTCGTCCCTAGATCTAACTAATCACCCCAGAGTCTGCAATCATTCTACTTTGTGTCCTACAGAAGTTTCTCCTAGTGTGTAAAGGCCCCTTTCTTTATAGTCAGCTTTCTGCAGACATGAGCAAGCAACCAAGTGTTGTCATTTTCACAGAAACCTCCCCAGCATTGAGGCAAGAACGATGTCACTAATTTTTCCAAAGCAAGACTTTAATTTTCCTCAGGGATGCCTCCATTCTCCATCAGGTTGATCAAGCTCTCTGGATCTTTGCCCGTTTCCTTATATCTGTGTGAAGTTCAGTGACCCAGACTGGATCCACGTCTCAAAGTTCTGACTAATGCAGAGTCTAACGGAAAGATTACTGGACATGTCGTGTCCTATTAATAACGCCTGTTATCCAGAGGATTTTGTCACAATGGGAGGGAACAAAGTTCTGACTCACTCTAGGTTTGTGGTAAATTTCAGATCACTTTCTGCTTTACTTAGCCTGTCCTTGTCATTATCTTTCTCTAACTCTTTGCCCTTATAATTACCATGTCTTCATCAAACATCCTTCAGCCATGAGTAGGCCTGAGCACTGTTCAAAATGACTGACAGCACTCTTATGTTATGCTGGATGACACACAACCCCTTGGACAAACAACTGGTACCAGGTGCCAAGAAGCTGAAAAATTGCTCATGCCCCAGAGTCATGATTACACTCTTGGTAGCATATTCTAAGGAAGTCATCCTGTGTACAGGAAAAGCTACACAATGTGTGAGGATATTCAGTCCGGCAATATTTATAGTAGTGGAAAACCAAAAGCAACATAAAGGCCCCCTCAAAAAATTATGGTATACCCATTGGATGGAATAGTATTAAGCCATTTAGTATATGGCTGTGGCAGGAGGGGAAATGTTGCTAAGTTATACAATGTATGAAAAGTTGAGGATACAAAATAACATAAGCATTCCCCAGGGATGTAATCAGCCAACAGCTAGAATGAAGGAACCTAGGACAAACACCCAATTCTCTTAACAAATAAAATTGGAAGGAGAAAAAAGAGAGGAAGGACTTTTAAATTGAAACAAATTAAAACATGTAGCAACCAAAAGCCTTGTTTGGATCTTGATTCAAATAAACTGACTTTACAATTAAAATAAGACTTTATTAAATTACCAGGGAAATTTGAATACTTACCAGGCATCTAAAGATATTAAGGAATTATACATTTTAAGGTATGATATGGTATTGTTGTAAAGTTGAAGATTTTGTTTTTGTTTTTGTTTTGAAACAGAGTCTCACTTTGTCACCCTCGGTAGAGTGCTATGGCATCATAGCTCAAGGCAACCTCAAGCTCTTGGGCTCAAGCAATCCTCTTGTCTCAGCCTCCCAAGTAGCTGGGACTACAGGTGCCCACCACCATGCCCAGCTTGAGTTTTTTCTGTTTAATAGAAGTGGGATCTCACTTTTGTTCAGGCTGGTCTCCAAATCCTGAGCTCCAGCAATTCACCTGCCTCGGCCTCCCAGAGTACTAGGATTACAGGCATGAGCCACCACACCTAGCCTAAGGGTGTGGTGGTTGAACCTTAAAAAACCTAAGGTTCGGCTCAGCGCCTATAGCTCAACTGGCTAAGGCGCCAGCCACGTACACCTAAGGTGGCAGGTTCGAATCCCCAGCCCGGACCCGCCAAACAACAATGACGGCTGCAACCAAAAAATGGCCGGGCGTTGTGGCGGGCGCCTGTGGTCCCAGCTACCTGGGAGGCGGAGGCAGGAGACTCGCTTAAGCCCAGGAGTTGGAGGTTGCTGTGAGCTGTAATGCCACGGCACTCTACCCAGGGGGACAGCTTGAGGCTCTGTCTCAAAAAAAAAAAAAAAACGTAAGGTTCAGGTTTTTTAAAAAAAAAAAATCCTCCTTTCAGAGATATATACTTAAAATATTTGTGGATGAAATGATACAGTGGCTGGATTTCCTTCAAATTGATCTGGACTGGAAATTTGGGGAAATAAGAAATAAGATGGGCCAAAAGGTTATAATTATTGAAGCTGGGTGATAAAGACATGAGTTCCTTACATGATTTTCTCTACTTTTTTATGTTTGAAATTGTTCATAATAAAAAGGTTTTCTAAACCTGCATATGCATTAATGATTAAGATAAGCACAAAGAGAGCAGCGCTGGGAAGATTATGGCACCAAACAACGAGGGTTCAACTCCCAGCTCCTTTAGCGTTGCCATCTGTGTGACCTTAAGTAAGTCGCCAAACCTCTCTGTGTTTCAGTTACCTCATTTCTAAATGGAGATAAGAATGATCATAGTAATACCCACCATATCATGTTGTGGAGATTAAATGGGTCAATAAATGTGGAACACTAAGTACTTGGTGTGTGTCGCCTTTTACTCATTCACTGAAATTTGAATTTCAAATTTGAATATTTGAGCATCTATTTACCAGGCTGTGGAGATTCAACAAAACAAAAACAGACTCGTATCAGGATGGAGGGACTCAGGGTGAGAGCTTTCTCATTATTTACTCTCAAACTTTGTGTAAAGTTGAAATTTTTTATATGTTGAAAGATAGCTTCACTGAAAAAAATAAAATGAATTTTTTAATGAAATGTGTTTTTAAAACAGAGCGAGCCTCTGTTACAGGCTCTCCCTGCCCTCTGGGAGCTCCTTAGTCTGCTGATATAAACACATTCCAGTCTTGGGATGTTTCCATGCCGAGGGGCCTCTGCTTGGCTGAGATAGCAAGCATTGGCAAGGTGATAAACCCAGAACACATTTCCTGGGTGGGGACAGTGTAGAGAAGTAGGGAGGAGGAAGAGAATGCCACCCTGGGCCCCTATACTCCCCACTGCTTCGACCTCTTCCCCCCACCCTGCTTCCTGCGTGTTGAGTCAGGTCCAAAACAAGGGCAAGAAGGAAAGAGCTGCTTATTTCATTGACAGTTCTGTTTTTGTTTTTGTTTGGGTGGGAACACCCCAGGCACGTGGTGGGAAGGAGGTGGGGGCATGGGAGGGCGGTTTGTGGAGCAGACAAAGGAGCCCTAAGTGAACTTCCAGAGAACTGCTGAATGGGTGGGCAGCCAGGAGAGGGTACAGGGTCGAGCAGCACTGCCAGCGGGCACCCTGGCCTGCCTCCCTTGCCCAGTCCCGAGGTTGGCTATTTTGGCCTAAAGAGAAAAA